ACCATTCTTCTTCTTAAAGACGGGGAACGGTCAAGACAATCTTAATTTATCGTGCGGTAGGGAACACCCGATCCTCGACCGAAGTTCCGCTCCCCCCCCCCTCAGAAACGCTGTATTACGGTGCTTAATGTTCACCCCTTTTCTGTTCACTGCAGCCATTGCACGGGAATTCACGACACCAGTAGTACAATGAGTAGGCAATGACAAACACGCACGATGCCAGGGGTGTAATAGGGTCTTTATTGGGCGCTTTTGAGGGTTTCTCCCGCTGTTATCCTCACAGGTATACACTCCAGTTCGCTGCGGACGGTTGGGCGTGTCAGGCAGTATGAGTGTGTCACCCGTCAAAGCCGTTCTCTGCCTTCTTGTTGAAGCGCATGCGACAAAAAGTGGTAGAAAACGAGTAATACGAACGATATGATACAGTCATATCATTTGCTCGCTTTAACAACTGGTGGAGAACGGGTTTGGCACCGCGCCAAACTCATCCCGCCTGACACGCCCAACCGTCCGCAGCGAATTACACTATACTACTTAGCACTTCGAAGTTCATATTTGAGAGGCACAGCTGTCATACTGTAATCGGACACCGCCCTCTGAAGACGTGATTGGCTATCCCAAAAGCTATACTACTGACTGTATAAGCGCGACACGGCGGCCTCGGTTACCATATTACTACTACCCGATGTACACATATATCTGAGATATGTACTTGTTGAAATTATCGTGTACAGTTCGGCTTGGTGGGGGCACCGAATAGTACTCAGCGGAGCCGGTACAGGCTACCTCGTAGAAACCTGTGAATTCGTTAACCTAAGTGGTCCACTTGTACTATTATGCAGCTTCATATGCATTTACAGCTGTTACCAAAATAAGACCTGTTAGTTTACACGAAATAACAAAAGGGACGGTGAAAGTGGCAAAATCGCCCTCCGCCGAGCCAAAAACCCCGAACTGCTGCTTCATTTTGTGGTAAGAGATCAGAAACGCAACGTCTCACTCGGACATTGATTTCGCTCAGAGCGTCTCGTAACTCCCCAGAGCTGTGACCCAATCTACCACTCAGTGAACCCTAAATCGGCAAATTCGCGAAGCCATTCCGATTATGGTCGAGCTTGCAGACCAAAAGAACCAACATACCATTGTGAACCCCACCGATCCAATAACAAATCGCTCCTCCGTCGGGTCGAGACTATACTCTAAAGCGGCCAGATTATCCGCGTCATTGGCTGTTACCGTAGTCACATAAGAGCCAATAGGAAGAGCTGCAATCATTGATGGTCCTATACAGAAAAAGACATCACCGGAGAACTCGTCCAAAAACCTACTCTCTAGAACTTTCTTTTTTCGTTGACGCGGGAAAACAGGTGGATTGTCGTTGATGTTATTGACTGCAAAAAATGATTTATGCTATAAAATCAACCATGGAATTTAGCACATGAAAAAAACCGAGGTTACCGTCAACGGTCAGATGGGTCTGAATCTGACTGGGAAACGCTCCCGTAGCAATAATTTTCAGGTCATAGCGCTCTTTGATCTCAAAATCTAGCTCTTGTGAAGTTCGAACCACACCGTCAGCATCGACCTTAAGCAGTACTGTGAATATTAGAAAATTATTAGTAAAACCAGCGTTGCATAGAAAAATTTCGGAAAATATTCGAAAAAGCTCCGGATAGGATTGCTCGATAGGTGGAACCAGAAGAACGACGTCTTTGCCTCGCCTTTCCTTTTTCTGTACAGAAGGACGTAAGGGTGCTGCGCTAATGACGTCGTGCTCCGACTCCGCCCCCTCGGCAGTCCTGAACGGCTCCAATGACCACTTTATCAGAGTAACTGAAATTATACCTCGAAAGCACTGTCAGTATTTCCCTCAACGATGCTGTAAGTGATTCGTGCATCTCTCGACGATGTTGCAACCTGAAAGGAACGCTTGAGAACAGGGCAGGACTTAGAGGTGAAGGGCACGATGGCTGGAGGCGGGCGGTTACTGCCAACGTCATTGGTGGAAGGACTGCGGGGGCGTTTGGCCACACCCCTGTTCAGCAGTTCCACCAACGACGTGAGCGGCAACTGCCGCCCCCAGCCATCGTGTCCCCTGCCTTTTAGGGAGAATAGGCGTTACCTTCGAAACAACTTGTCCACGCGTCAAACCTTCATCAATCGATGACACGTATTTCTGACGTAGGAAAGCTGGCTGAACGTCAGATTGTTGCGGAGATGGGGTGCGTGTGTTCTGGACTCGGAAGAGTCGATCTACACCGAGCGATGGGATTCCTTTGTCATACACCCTCACTCGAATCATCCAGTCATTTCCGACACCACTTGGCTCTCTGAAAAGACATTTTATGCATAAATGCAAAGTCGTAAAGCCGTTCCAGGAAAAACGTGCACGTTCGTGCGAACCACGCGACTTCGTGAAAGTTGAAAATGTGCACACTGCACATATCTTCCAAGAGAGATATGTACATTATAACAGGTCCTCAGTTAAAGGAGAGTCGTTCTAAAGGAGGAACGTGTACACTAAGATCTATCGCGCAGCTCCAGGAAGAAAGCCTGTACACTCGTCCAAATCGTGCACAACTTGCAATATAGTCTCCAAGGAGATCAAATGACGGCATACTGCTGCACGTATAGTCGTTTTCGCAGCAAACGCTGGGGCCTGTCAGTGCGGCTGGGTTTGGGCACGCCAGCAAGTTACTTTTTCACTAACTGCTGTAAGTGGCTCGCTTCGCATGTGAGAGAAGACAGGCCTGCCCAGCGCAAAAACACAGCTCCCCTCCGCGTTCAAGATGTCATCGACACCATTTAGTTTTTGCTAGTAGCAGTTAGTGCAAAAGTTAGATCCTGAAACTTACCTAAACAAATGTGCAGTTCGCCGGATTCTGGGGCCAGATCGAATGCCGAGCTCGAATCCTCATACCAGATCGAAAAGTACTCTCCCATTTGCTCCAACGTCATGATCGAATGCCGTGAACCCTGGAATAATACTGTAGGGGTGTAATTGTAGGTAGAGGCGAATGCTCATAGCGGGGGTATTTTGTTGGGGAGGAGTATTCTGCTACCTCCCATTGACCTCTCGAGCCACAAAGTAGAACTATGAAATCTGATGAAATCATGAAGTAGCACGCAGATATGAGGTTTGTACGGAGACGCTCTGTCAAACCTTTAAGGCTGCGTTCTTAAACTTTGCGGCTAAAGCGTCACTAGCCACGCAGCAACGGCCTTTGGGCGCCCGCTAGTCGGGGGGAAAAAGTTTTGTAAGCTGTCGATTCTAAAACGACTCAGCAGCGGTCCAGCGCAGCGTCCTCCACATACTCAATACCGAACAGTCTGCTACTTTACTTTCTCCCAAAACTCTACCAGCTGCTGCTATCCTTCCTTATCTCCCCATAGCTCTCCCACTCCTAACAGTTGCTGGTCCCTGGCGGGTGCTGGGGTGGACACGCTATATCTATACCGAATAACTAATATTTCGGCTATTCGCTGACGCTGACGGACGCTCGAAACACCGCTTGTCGCGGGTGGTCGCTGCCGCAAAGAACGCAGCCTAAGAGGAATACTTGCTCAGGGTTGGAATGCAATAAAAAAAACACACAACAATTAGGAAAACAGTAGGAGTGCAAAATTGCCACGCCCCACACTTAAGTCGACGTTTTCGCAGTCCGCCAGCTAGTTCATTCAATACTTTTAATGAACCACGGTCCTCGATATGGAAGCAAGCAGAACAAGACCTTCCAAGCAAAGGTCCGAAAAATAACGCAGAAGTGGAGAAATAATCTCAGCCCGGCTATTAAACTTCTCAAGGGTCATGTGGAAGATTGAACAATGGACAGCTGATATCAAAGTGAGAGTCTTTTATCAAAGTCTAATATGCAAGAGTTAGTAAGGAAATATTAACCTGAGTGTGGTGGTGGTTGAGACCGCGGCGGATTGCAAGGGTTTCATAAACAGTGCGTGATCTCGTTCAGTTGAAATTTCCCAGCGCTTCTAGAACCGTGAGCCAGGCAACTCTTGAGCTTATTGTGCACGGAGATGCTAGGTAATTGAGCGCGTTCCAAAAGCCTCGTTTAATCCTGTCGGCCAAAGGTCTTAAGTGGCAGGCTTCCATGGCTCTTCGGAACACATTCCTGGATGAGCGAATGGGCGGGGAATGAGGTGAGACTCACAGACATTGAGCCTTATATGTAGGTGTACAGGAAGGGAGGACACATGGAAGAAAGGCATAAGGTTGCAAGTTCCCGCCCACAGGATTATCGCAGAATGTGTCTCCAAAACTTGAACGAGCTTGAAAAACCTTGAGCGAATGAAACGAGCTTACTTGTATACAACATCACGAAGAGATACGCTATCATTAATTGATATCACTTGCAATGTGGATGCCGCAAATTGTGGCACATTGTCATTAACATCAGATACCGTAATCCGCACCGTACAAGAGTCCTGAACAGAAACTCCTGGAAACTGTAGCTCATTCTGATAACCATCAATAGCTTACATTTATTTCTCCATCCTGTGCAACAATCACCAACAAATGTTCAGATTGCTGCTCTCGATCAAGTGCAGGACTGGATAGCTTCCCTGTGGATGAATCGATCTCGAAGAATCTGTTGGATCCTGAGACGAAATCAAGCGTTACTGTGGATACTTATCTGCCACCAAAGCGAAAATCTTCAAACCTCGTATGCCGAACTTGGTGTTGTTCGAGGCGTTGAGAGCAACGATTTGTTTGAAGTCTTTTAGTGGACGATTTTCGGGCACGGTTATCGATCCACAAGAGGCGGAGCTTATCCTTGGCCCCGCCTTTGTCGTTTCTGTTACATGCACCACAATCGATAATGTGTCTATCTCACCATGACCAGATTTGGCCAGAACTGAAACAGTGACTGGTGCGATAAGAAGCACTACACAAATCAAGGTAACTTATTGATTCATTGATTACCTGATAAGTGGTAGACTCCAGCAGTAACTGCGTTAGCCAGAGAGATCGTTCCCGAGTTGTCAATTTCAAAGTTTGATGCCGATGGGAAAAGTCGAATCGCCGCTTTCCCTGGAAAAGATGAACTCAATTCGACGGCACACTCCGCGTTGATCGCAAGGGCGGGGTCAGTTCAACTACTGTGCCGTTTTCGTCGCGTAGCTTCCTCCCAAGTGGCAAGGAGGGAGGAGCGTTACATCAGGGAAAGCACGAAAATCGATTTGGACTCGATCAGCGTGAGCCTTTAACCGTCAACCGTCAACCTCTACCAGAACGAACTCCTACCCTGTCTTGATCCGGTCGTGAGCTGAAGCAAGAATGAGCGATGATCTATCTGTGTAGTTATCCCACATACACACCACAGCGAATTCATAGAAGCTTCTGTGAGTAAGCAACGGACCGCGTTGCGCACAGTATTGAAGTCCACCCAAGCCACACTTTCCGGCTGGATCGCACTGCACTGCCATTCTAATTCGAATGAGTCAACCTCCTTTTGCCTGCGGCCAGACCAGTTCAATGGGTAAATAATCAGCAACCGTGTAGATATCCATGTCTTCGAAATGAGTCCTTGAAAGCGCATTCCACGCCCATCTGAGGGCGGAGTCACTGAAAACATTCAGAGCCCATGAGTGTGAGCCCATGAGATGGCCGTCGTAGTCCACGTAACTCCTTTTATGAGATTAGCGTTGAGTCTCAAGCTGATCACGATTTCAGAGGATCGCAGTCTCGTTGACGGTCTCCATGGCCTCCAATCCACCCTCAAGGGAATTTTGGTTCCAGTTGAAAACTACCAGGACTGAACGTCGTTCAGTGTTCACCTTGTTTCGTGTGAAGAATATGTTCAAAGCCGTAGTAAATAAGCAGTCTACGTTGGTCGTATGGGCGGGAACAGGCAAAGGTAATGCACCATTTCCGCTTTCTCTATTCCAGCCTCGCTCCTATACCTCAGTAGGAGAAGGGCGGAGTAATAAAAATGATACTGTAGTTCTTCGGCTTCGCCGATCGCTATGGACCACGCCTTGGAAAGAAATTTGTCCTTGGTCGAAGACACGCACCCATCCAATGTGAGAGTCGCGATAGTGGTTCCAACTGGTGCAGTGTCTGCTATTGTCACTTCGACTTCGTCATCGTCAAAATAATTCCATTTCTTACTGTCACTTGTCAGACTTAAACGAGGTCGATTACGGGTAGTTTTTTCGAAGACGGCTGAAGGCCCTACCGTATTGTTAAGGTTTGATCGGCAAAAAGTGACGGTGATCCTTGGTCGGACGCCCGGACAACTATAGTTGAATCGCTGGACGACGGACGTCGCAGCATCGATAGGGCACCTAAAGAAAAGGCACATGGTTCAGAAATGATCATTAAAATTTCCGAAAACTCGAAAACTCACCAGTTTTGTGGTCAATCCCGAAACAGTCCGTTGGGTCAGAAATTACATCGTAGGTGATTGCAGCATTTTTGCCAAAATCATCATCGGTAGCCACCACGTAATGGATCACACGATTCGATGGTTCCGTGAATACCAACACCTCAGCACCACTGAAAAAGCGCCATTGAATTACTGCGTTTTTCGAGTAGACCTTACTTCCGTCAATTTTTCGAAGTATGGTTTTCCAGTAGACCCTTACTTCCGTCAATTTTTCGAGGTTTGTGTAGAAAGAGCTTTTTCAAGTGAAGGATGCTCTCTAGAGACAATGATAGCGGTCTAGCAATCCGACGAGATAATATTACCCTGTCGAAAGGCTTCAAAGGCGCAGTTTGTCGACGGGGGGGGGGGCATTCTGCTTTCCATAGATGTGCCGACCCATCTAGGTAGCCTTTTCTCGAGTTGACACGTTTTAGGATGGTGGCTAGACGATCTTGCTCCAGCTTCACAAGGTTCACAAGTTTTACCAGAGTGAGATTTGTAAACCGGAACTAGGGAAGCAATGGTAGTACAAAATGCCCCCCGTCGACAAACAGCGCTGCTTCAATGTTTTCCGGTTCTTCGGGTAGTATGGGTGCGAAGCTCTTTTGAAAGTCGCCTAGTAAGCTTCCAATGTCAGTGACCGGAACTGCGTTCGGGTTCCAGGGAGACTCGAATCTTGACGCGGTATGGGAGGTCCGCCATGGGTGAGTTACCCTCGATAAAGCCTTCAAATAAACATAGCAAGTAGTACTCCTGATAGATAGCCGGTTCAGGTAGAAAACAACCAGTGGTGGGAATGCGGTGCGTAGGCTCATTCTACGCCTCTTGACAATGCCCCGCTAAATGCGACGACATCGATTGCAACACTAATCAGTTTTCTTCCCAAGCTCATTTGGTCTCTTTGGCAAGTCCATGAGAGTAGGTCCGAAACCACACGCGTCTCGTGACAGTAGCCTTATAGACGCCATTCAGGGGGGAGGGGGCAAAAAAGCACTTCGACCGAG